AATTCTTTGTAAATCTAGGAGTGCATGAAGGCAAGGACTTTTTAAAACTTGATCTGATGCTATGACAGATGCTTAACTCTTGCTCTGAGATTTGTGGGTTACCTTTTTGTGGCACATGGTTACAGCAGAGTGTGTATTCCTGGTGAGCTCTCCTAGGGATAGTTTTTAGCCTGTGCCATATGGATGCATGGTGATCTTTGTGGCAGGAAGAAAAGTTGGTGCTTCCTATGCAGCAATACACTTTGCATTGCAAAGTGCTGCCTTGGTGTAGCAGTGTTTGGTGATCTGCTGTTCAGTCTGTCCCACACACCTCTGCCTCTCTGGCTGCTCTTTGACATGGGAACTCATTGTTTACTCTTAATGTAGGGATTGGTTTCTCATGTTAGTATACTTCTATACTTCGCCTATATCCTACTCCAGTTTTACGTGCTGCTTGGCTTGATTTGGTTCGCGTTCCTTGTTCTGTTTACTTGTATTTTACTTGTAAACTTTTCAAGGACTTTTTTTCTTCTGTACTTTAACAGTTCATAGGAGGGAAGGATTCCAGTGTTACCACTGGTAATGGAAGTGCATTGATGAAGGACTGCTGCTTCAGGCTGAGGAACAGAAATTGGTGTGGTTTGGTGTAGGCTGGGCTGTGTTTCTGGGCTGTTAAAGAATTGATTTGGTTTTGGTTTAGAGGCTTTTCAGATTCTTGCTTCAAGAGTGGGCTCTATGTTGGAAGGTGTTATCAGTGAGAAGTTATTGTGGAAGATGGAGATGGTATAATAAGATCATAACATTAGCCAACAGAAACTCATTAAGGAGTTAATCTTTTTTTTCTAGACTAGAAGCTGCATACACAGCCTAAACTATCTCAGCTGACTCCAGATGTATCAATGATGCCTGAGTAATTTGTGTATGGGCTTGGAAATACAACTCAGGGCCTGCAGCAGACCGCTATCTTCCAGCAGCTGTGTCTACAACCTTGACAGGATGGTTTAGGGCATTTCAAACTGCTTCCAGTGCCTGTGTTTGTAGTTAAATGAACCCCATAAGCAACCAGGCTTTTCTCCCTGGCACAATGTGTTATTGATGTGACATGGTGAATTGCTCCTGGTGGATGCCCCTCTAGACTTGGATGTCTCAAGAGAAGTCTGTGGGATCTCTTTAAACATTGACTGTAGTCTTGACAGTTTTGCTGTGGTTTCTGAGTGTACATTTGGAGACGGTTATATATAAATGTCTTTAAATGATTTTTTAGATTGTGAAGCAGAATTCGCAATGTATTTTAATGTATAGAAACCCATAGGGATTCTGTGGAGTTTTCCCTTGAGAATTCTGGGTACCTGGTTTATGTGATTTTTCAAAATCTACTCTTGGAAATGAAAGGTAAAATGGAACTTAAAACCTTCATACAACTAGTTAGATACAAATATTTGTCCCAGAGAATATCAGCTAGCTGGTTATCTGGTAAGTAGTTTGGTTCCATCAAAGGACTTCAGATTGACTACTGTAATACTGATTACATAAAAAGAAGCAGGACTATTCTGGAAAAGTACAGTGAGTTGCTTTTAGTATCCAGGCAAAGGAGTCTTAATCTGACAAGAGAGAGGAGAGCAGTAATCATTGCAAGCTCTGTGTCATAGGTGTTTTAGAATGTTTTTCCTGAATGGGACAGCTTCATCAAACTGCTTGTCTCAAGGACAGAAAGTTGTCTTGCCGTGGCAAAAGATTCACATAAGAATCAGATCATGGTTTTAATTCACATGCTGTTCCATTTCTGATAATTGATTGTTTAAATGTTCTAATGCAAAATGTGTTTGTTAGTTAAATGGGTTATTAAAATTGAAAATGGAGGTGGCTTTCATTTAAAGCTATCTTCAACAGCAGTGTCTTTTTGGTAATTAATCTTTTTGTTGATGTAAATTTGCTGCTTTTGGTGCAGTTTATGAAGTGCTCACAGATTTGTGTGTGCATTCATTGCTTTGGTATAAATGTGCAGTTTTATTTCATAACCACCAGTCTTAGATCATAATTATCCACTGAATGGTCCAAATCTCACTATGAATTTTTCAGAAATAACTTGATAGGTGTGAAGAGGATATTGGAAGTCTCTCACCCAGACAGCATTATCAGACAGGAGTAGCTAGTGCTGTGGCTCCATGGCCAAACTAATACAAAGCTCTGCTGAAAGGAGGAGGCCTTGCTCCAAATGCTCATGTTTATCTTAAAACTTTAATCTTTGTCTAATGTCCCATTAAATAGGTTGAGAAACTGTTTTATAGCAGACTAGCCAAAGTTTGTCTTGGGAATCCCAGTTCAGTTGAGGTTGTTAGTCCCCAAGAAAATGTTTTGACTTGGTTTTCTTGGAAAGGTAGCTGGTTAAATTGGTCAGAGCACAAATGCTGAACATCACTCAAGGAGAGCAGGTCATACAGAGGTAATGGAAGTTGCCTCCATCTTTAAGGTGTGCCTGAACATTTTAGCATTCATTTGATAAGTATGAAATGCTGATTAGTGTACAGCAGAATCTCTGTAATTACCATATAGATGGCATTCAGAGGTGATGTTTTAGGTCTCCTTTTCTAGAAAATAATGAATCCCAAGATCTCTGCTATGTGTCATTAGAAGGACTTCCCAATGGTTTTTCTGGTAATTTATCATATATATGAGGCAGACATCTGTTTGACATCTAATTTATGAAAGTGAGCATTACAGAGATCATTACAGGCACATGAAACAACAGTGCTTACAACAACATCTTAGTGTCTCCCCTTAGTAAGGGGCATCAACAGTGTGATTACTTTGTAAGGAAGAAAATACTTCCATGCAAATGTGCTTACAGGTTGCTGTGGCCCCTCCAGTTCTCAGGGTATGTTTTTTAGTGCCCGAGTGCTCTCCAGAGCTGTAGCATGAGGTTCTATGTGTGTTTACTGCAAATTTGCATATTTGAAACTTTTTTTCAGAGAGGATACAAGGCAGAAAACACCTACTCCAAGAATTCTGTTGTATTCAGGGTATTGTGTCTGTAGCCCTTTGTGTGAACATATTATTCAGACCTGCATTTGAGACTCTCTTCTGGCAGGATGTATAAAGTCATTACAGAATGCTTTTGATATGAAGAAAGGATGGGGCAGGCAGCCTTTGCTTACTGTAGTAATGCTCAGTGCCATTGGGTTTGGCTGTGCCTTTCAATGGGGGCTGCACAGCATCCTTTATCCTTTCTCCATTAACCTGTGTTGTGCCAGTGCCACCCTCATGCATCTGCAGCAGGAGCTCTCTGCTCAGGTGCTGTGTTTTGGCAGAGGCAGTGGTGAGGCTCTGGTGGTGGAGAATAAAGGAAACAAGGTTCACTGGTTGGGGAGGTGGTGCAGTGAGTGGGGCCTGAGCAGTGGCCCTGCTTGGACAGGGTAATTCCCTTTGTACACTGTCCTGAGAAGACTATCAATATTTCTCACTGTGACAGTACATGCATGGGAGAGCATTTGCTGGCAGCTCACCATTTATCTCAACACCTTTGATTTTTGGAGGTGAATGATGGCATGGCAGTATAGCATCGTTCTGTGGCTGAAAGAATCTTCCTGTGCTGCCTTTGACCCTTGGGCACTAATGCTGCTGCCTGTTTTGTAACCTGCACAGTTGCTTTTACAGCCACACTGTGAGCTCGAGTAAAGAATTGATGTGGCTGAACTTGCTTTCATTTGGAGATGCTGTTTTCAGCATATCAATTCCTGATCTAGTTCCCCAAGCAGCAGCCAGGATACAGGGGTCTTGGTAGAAGTGACTGCCATAGGAAGTGTGACACTTGTAGTTTATAATGTATTGTAATTTCAGCTAATGCCTTAGATTACTATAATGAATCTATAGTTTTAGCTGCATTGTGGACTGCTTCAAATTGTGGGGTTTGACTCCTTTCCTCCCTTCCCCTGTTGTATGGTGCTTTCCTGCCCATTTTTTTTCCAATACATGAGTCTTTCCGGTGCTGAAAGAGATTAGCTCATGGGTGCAACAGAAAGTAACAATTCAGTGTTTTCTTTCGGATCAGTGAATTAGTGCAACTTGTTTGGTTCCATGATCAAAAGGCAGGAAAGGAGAACAATCACATCTTTTAAGTAGTGTTCTGCCCTGAGCTGAAAGGGAAAAAATCCTGTTTCTGTGTTACAGCTGGAGACTCCTCAGGGTGGAGAGATCACGACCTGCCTTATTTTGAGCTGCAGTGTGATATTTAGTACAGTAGTTATTGTTATTTGACCTGTTTAGAGGTGAAATTCTTTTCCTGTGACTACAGAAAAACAAGGTAGTATTCCATGGTTTGCAGGGAGCAGGTTTAATGTTTTACCCCGAGGAACAAGACAGCTGTTGCATTTGAATTGGCAATGTTTTTCCTAAATGTTGTGGTTTCATGGGGGTGCTGGCACTGTGCCGGTGTCAAACCATGACACTAAAGAAAGTAAATTTTCCTGGAAATGTTACCTCCAATGCAATTATTTTTAGACAGGTTTGTTAGTGTACAGTCTTCTGTGTTGCTGGAGGTTTTGTGTTCCAATCTCCACACTAACATTTTGGTTTCTGTAACTTCAGTTTTGCTACCTAGTAACAGCAGGAGTCCTGAAATCCTTCATTTTGTTTTGATGGTGGGCTACCATGAGTTCTTTGCACAAGCATTTGCCTTTTTCTAAAAAGTTTCCTGTCATCTGCTGTTATTGATAGATAAGAAGTCTTTCTCATTTGCTTTCTTGAGGTTTCTCACCTTTTGTTCTCTCTTGATCTTTGCTGTTTTTACAGCACCACAAATTCTTCATTAGAAGTGTACTCCAACATTTTTATTGAAATGGAATCTAATACTCTGTCCTCCCATAAACTTCTGGTAATACCTAGATTATAATATACTGAATTTATCTCCGAGCAGTGGTTAGTAATACTCTTAAGTATCACTGGTTTAGCATTTCAATTTTCTGAAGCTTGGAAGTTGTATTTATATAGTATTTCCCCTTTTTAGAAAGGCCTTTTTTTTTTGCTTTCCTTTTCTTTTTGCTCCTTAGTTTTCTTAATCTAATATGCTGCTCACATTCAGTAAAGAATTGACTGGAAGTACCAAAATCACTATAATAAGAGGAATCATTAAAAAAAACCCCAATGCCCTGCATTTGAACTGTTTGGAAAAGGCCTTTTTTGTGAAAAGGTTATCGGGGATGGAAAGGTTCTGCTAAAATAGAATTACAGAGCTGAAATGTTATTGTTTTGCTGAGTGGTGCTATTAATCATCCTGATTTAGGGAGTAAAAGCATAAACAGGGTCTGAGTAGCTATGAGATTGTATTAATGTGTATTTGTTGGTAGATACAACAAATTATAGTGCAGCAGCCTCCTGCTGCCTTCTCTCAATATTTTTGGTATTTTTTTCTTTTGCCTGCTGTACATAGCTGTCAGAATCATAAAGGAGTAGTTTCTCTGACAAGTCCTGCCCCTTTTGCTGTCTCAGGATAATCCATCTTGCTGAGCATTCTGCAGTGCACTGCAGAAGAGTGGTTGCTCTGTCTTACTTGAGAGAATTGCAGGAAGAGCACTGGAGAATTGTTCCCAGGGCTGCTGACAGCAATCACCTGATGTTTGAACACGTGCTGATACCAAGTGCTGACCTCTTCCTTTGCTGTGCAGGCTGATAAGGCATGGCCAAGTCTTGGTTGGGCTTTGGTGTGGCAATAATCCACTGAGAAGCTGGATTGATATCAGGGAGAGTCCATGATCTTCCCTTAAATAACTTTGTTTCTGCAGCTGTTGTGTTGGGGAGGAGAGGATTCACTTGCAGAATAGGCTGGCACACTGTGGGAGATTAAAAACTCAGAGCTTACATGATAGGTTGTTTTGTTTTTATTCAAACTCCAGGTAACGAGAAAATTTGGATTATAAATAGAAAGCTTAACAGTGGGAGTAATACAGTATATAGATCGTTTGTACACGTGAGTGAATGACCTTCATAACTAACCTATGAGTCATTCCTTTGAGAATAAATTGGACTACAAAACAATTAACTGCTGTGGTACTTGCTGATTGATATGCTACACTGACAAAACTGGCCTATTTTAAAAATGGACATAGAGCTTGTTTTGGAAATTATAATAATTCCCATATTTCCATGCTAAGTGTTGGTTAACTTCTGTAAAGATACTAATAGGTCATCTTTATATTGAGGAAAACTTGCTTTACATGGAAAAAAAAAGAAGCTACAAAACAAAAAGTGTCCGAGGTAGGAAAAAATCTTAACCACTTGCTTGCCAGTGTATGTAAGAGAAAAGTTTAGTCTTCTGTTGTTTTACTCAATAACTGGAGTTTGGGAGAGGGGTAGGGATATTTTTTAGCAGCTGCTCTTGTTCAGCATAAATATATTGTGATGTATCACATTTAAGTATTTGCACATAAAACAGATGGTAACTTACATATTTTTATTATCATATTGATTACTTAATGATGAATAATGCATATTGTATTAACTTGGTGATTTATCATAAATCAGCTTGGATTTTTGTGGATGTACCAGAAGTGAAACAAATACTTCATTTCTGACCTTCTCCTTGTCAGTTGTAGTTCTGAACAGTCAGGCAGTCACAAGTCTTTTCCTTGCTTTCATACCTCTATTGCTGCTGTCACCAGGTTCTGCATTTTTCATTAAAAGCTTATTCTGAGCTTTCAGTACTGAGTTTCTATGTGAAAAACTTGGTAAAATCATTGGTGTTCTCAGCAGCACTCATTTTGGGAGAGTTGTGATTGATGAAGAGTAGTTGTAGTTCCTAAACTTTTCTGGTTTTAATGTAAGTATTATGTTTCTTGACTTTCTAGTTTATGATAGCAATTTTTTTCTGTTGTTCTTTGTCTCAAGAGATTTTAGAGAAAAGCAGTTTTCTGGTAATTCTAGTAAATAAAGACTGCTTGTGTTGTACCCCATGGCCTGACACTTCCCCCATTGTTTTTTTCCTTTTTGGAAAGAGACTATTGTCTTCCTGGTGGGGATGTAACAATAGCTGAATGACATAAGAGTGGAACTTGAATTTGAAATAACATTTTATCCATGACCCCCTTTCTCTATTTTGCCCTTTCTCTCCTGCTTGGTACAGACCAAATGCCTCTTTGGGACACTGTGTGTAAACGTCCATACTTTGCTGCTAAATGTTAATCAGAATACGTGTTTGGAGTATCTGATGTGGCAAGTGCTAAATTAAACACTTGGAACACTTTAGGATTATGAGTCATCAATCCGTGGCTGCTGTTTTTAGATTTCAATAATTAATACAACCTATCTGGAAGTTACTTTTCAGATCATGGTGATCCACAATAAATCTTGAATAGAAATAAGCTGGAAAGTTCAGGTACCTGTATGCAATATTTTCCATTAGGTGTACTAGTTTTTAATGCTAAACAGGTAAAATAAGGAAATCAACTACTTTATGTATATAAAATTATTTTTAGGTTCAGAAGCAAGCAGAATTTAAACCAGAGGGAGCATATCAATTACCTTTGAGGGAGTCTTATTTCAGTAGCCTCAAATATTTCAAAGGAAGAATCTTACCTGTTAACAAGAAATGTTCTTTTAAAAATGAATAATCCCTAATTATTAAATACAGAATCACTCAGTAATATTTATCTCTTAAATGTTGTCTTCTGTTTTGTAGAAGACCCTTTTGAGGACTTCTTCGGTGGCAGGCGGGGTCCAAGGGGAAGCAGAAACAGAGGTGGTGGTGGATCATTTTTCTCTGCCTTTGGTGGATTCCCTGCTTTTGGAAGTGGTTTCTCTCCATTTGACACAGGTAAATATCATCACATTTAAGAAGGAATGTGATTTTGGCTCATAAAGGATTGCAATATAATAAGCTGGCTTCTCCATTCAGGCAATTCTAGGACTCTTTTTTTTTTTTTTTTTTTTTTTTAATTAAGCTGCTGTCTGTAAGATGTAAGTGTAAATTAAGTATTTGGGCTACTTGAAAGTTCATATATAGTGAACAGATCTCTAAGAAGTAGAACTTCCTGCTTCCTTATTTTGGTGCTACAGTTTTATCATGGCACTAGAATTCTTTTGTTCTGTTTGCTTTCAGGGGTGTGATGGCTTTTATTACAGATCCTGAAAAACATGTGCCTAAATCCCGTGGTAGTGCTTAGGGTGCTGGGAATCTGGGCATCGGTTGGGGTGTTACTGATGCAGGACTTGTTCTGTCTGCCAGCTCGGGGCATCCCGACATATGCACTAAAGCTTTTGATCGGATTCATTAGAGTTGCTGGCTTTCCCCTGAGGGCAGAGTGTGGATAAAGGTTGAATGCCTTTCAGGGGAGGAGCTGACAAATGGTTTTTGGACAATGCTGTGCATTTGGAACTTGAACTGTGGGTCCATATGAGAGAAATGTACAGGGCTGGAGCTGTGGTTTTATTCTAGGGCTGGTGTTAATGCCATCTAGTCACTGATGCTGTGTGATGAAACCAGCAGAGGGCTTCCTGAAAGTAGGATGTAGTCTGAATGGATGATAAATTTGGATCCCACAGTCATGAAAAATTACATTTTATTCAAATGCCTTCTTTTTCAATAGGTTTTTCTTCGTTTGGCTCCCTGGGACATGGAGGCATTACTTCGTCATTCTCCTCTACGTCATTTGGTGGCAGTGGAATGGGAAACTTCAAATCAGTATCAACCTCAACTAAAATAGTTAATGGCAGAAAAATTACTACAAAGAGGTAAGTGATATAAATATATTTATATGAAACTGTATGTAGAGACTTACCATACCTATAGTTACATGCTTATAAATATACTGTATCTTTGCACACACACATACAGTGATACATGTTTTTATGTTTTACTTCTGTTATTATGTTCATCATATTACGTGATTTCTCTGAATGCTTAAAAGCATTTTGAAATACTTTTTTGGGTTCTCTGTCTCTTCTTGGCATTGTTGAGTTACTTAATGCTGTAGCTGGAGCTCTTTTAGGCTTCAGAGCCTCCTGTGTAGTGCTGCACCTTTTATTATGGTCCTTGACTGCTGTCTGCCCAGTCAGCTTGAACTTCTGGAAGAAAAGTGTGCTTGGTGTCTAGTGATTGTGAAGCTTATAACTGGGAATTGGGAAGAATTTTAGTTTTGCAGATGTTATGAAAGGTTTTTACCTAGCATCTGCTTAGTGTGCTTTCCTAGGCAGTGTTTAAGTGAAGTCTCTCTAGTAACTTTTTTCTGTCTGTAAATGAAATAAGCAACTGAAGCTTGCTTTGGAGAAAAATGTACCTGTTTGTTGGAAAGTGAATTTTCAAGTCTTGTACACAGTGTACTTTCTCTCCATTTCATGTGTGTGAAAGGGAAATCATTGCATTTGGGAAACCCAAGTCTTAGTTAGCTATAGAATAACCTACATGGAATACTGAAATTAATATAGGAGTACTGAGCAAGTAGTTAAGTGTAATTTCACTACTTAATAGAAAATTACAGAAAAGTGAGGGAGGATTAATTGTTTTTGTTTGTTAGCTTGGGTCCCATACTTGTAAGTGCAAGGTTCTTCCCTGAACTCTGGTGCTGGAGAGCTCCTATCATCTTGACCACTTAATAACAGCCTCTAGATCACCTGCTGGTGTGGTCATGATATTTTTCTGTGAGTGTATTCCAGAAAAATCTGAAAACTCAAAAGCTCTTTAATAATCTCTCTTTTCAATCAGAGATACTTGAATTTTGTAACATGCATACTGGTCATAAAGTTGGTGTATAGTAGGTCTACAAATTACTAGCTCTGATCAAATTACAAGTGGGTTTAAGACTGTCTTGTGTACAAAATGATGATTAGATCTAGAATATAATTTAACAAACATGTAGGGACTAAATGCAGTGTCAAGATCGTGCAGTTGATCTGTCAAGGCTTTAAGGCCTAGATAACAGTGTGTAGTGTGAGCAAAGCTGTGACAATGTATGAGGTGGCAGCTGTAACTGTGAACTCTACATCCTGGAGGATTCCAACTTCCAGAAGGCAGTTTTCCTGACTAAGCAGTGGGGAAGTGCAGGCGGGTACTGCTGACAGCTCTGGTGCTGGTAAATACCAAAGCTTGCCAAGTACAGTTGCATTAAGCAGGTGGTGCTCCCTTACAGTTTGTTATCTAAACCCAAGGTCTGGTGTGTGTTTAAAACTGCCTGCAGTGCTCTAAAATGGCTCATGGTGTTTTTGTCCTGCAGGATTGTTGAGAATGGACAAGAGAGAGTAGAAGTTGAAGAAGATGGCCAGTTAAGGTCGCTAACAATAAATGGTAAGGAGCAGCTGCTACGCTTGGATAACAAGTAATTCAACGCACGCATTTAACAGAAATTTTAAGCTCTAACAGCCACCATTTGAGGATTGACAGGAACATTTTTTGAAGATTTCAAAAGAATTCAACTTTCTGTATATCCGTACTCAATCTTAAGTAGTATAAGTAGCTCACAGAAGCTCGTATTTGTCATAGACTTTTGAGTTACTCATTGGGACCACATCAATTGGACCATTTTTTGTCCTTAAAATTGTTGTAAACTTCTGTATGCACTTTTCTTTTCTTATCTGTGATCAAGGTGAACCATGATTCTTCAGTAGTGCTAGGGCAAGATGTACACTAACACTAGCATGAATCTTGCTTTTTCCAATTTGAAATGTGAGCCAATTGGTAGTTCAAGTCTGCTGTGAAGTTAACAGTTCCAGGATAACCTTTTTAATAATTTCAACTTTTTTTTTTTTTTTTTTTTTAATGTTTAGTAGTGAAAAATGTTAATACATTTCTGGTAATGCATTTCTGGTTTAAATAAATTAAGGATGTTTTCTAGTTGTGCATGAATGCAGACAACTTTAGTAAGTTTTGACAAATGTTTAAATGTGTAATGTAAGCAAAAGGTAAACAAAAGTGAAGCCAGTGAGCTGAGTCTTTTGTCATTTGCTAAAAAAAATTCAAAATGAATAAATGCTGATGTTTGTGGTGCATTCTTTCATGAATGGCATTTGTAACCTTCCTGTGTCTGTGTGTGATTTGGGCAACTTGGGAAAACGGTGCTTTTTTTTTTTTTCCTCCCCTTATCTTTTTCTTCAATCTTAAGGATGAGGGCCTTTTTTCTTCGCGGATGTTTTCTTCAGTGTGACTGAAAACATGATTTTTAATTTCATTTCTAAATCTGTATTTGAAGCACCTGTTTTTAAGAAGCATTCAGAGACTGACTCTCTTAACTCCATCTTTTGCCCTAATATGTAATTATTTTAAGTCTAGGCCTAAAGCAACTCTATTTTAAAAAGTTTTCTAAAGTTGTTCTGAGATTTGCTTCAAAAAATAATCTGTAGTAAATATAAATATACATTTGATAAATTTATTTATTTAACATTTAATAATTACAAAAAGACTTGAGAATTACGAGATTTTTTTTTTGAGAATAAATAATTGCTTTGAAGATTTGGACAAAATTATTAGGATTATGATATCTCACTCTTATTTTTAATTCTCAACCAAAAATCAAAAGATGGATTAATGCCCTTTGTTAAATTAATGGAGTGAAGTAATGTGCTCATTTGTAGCTAAGACCAGATTTTCAAAGCTTAGTGAAAGATGAATTGGTTTTGGTGTGTCACAGAGAAAGCATGCAGGGAACTAATGGTGTGTGTTAACACCTGCCAGGTTCTGGATTGTTCCATGCACAGATCATGGATCTGCAGTTTTCATCTGTGTACCAGCTTTGAACATCTGGTCTTCACAAAACTCTGAAGAGTGTCTTAGTGGTTAACAAAAAAAAAAAAAGCATGGTGTTTTCAAATGATCACCTAATGCCTTTTTGCTGAACACCATCTGCTTTGTACTAACAAATGTGTTGATTATTAAATACATTGAAAAGAGATGCTCTTGTTTTTCATGCAGGAAAACCATTTCAACTTAAGCCAAACCAAGCTAACAAACTGTTACAACAGAATTTGTATTTGCAGGAAAGTTAATATATTGTACTTTTGTCCCTCTGCCATTAATGCTAATTTGATAGAACTGAAAAAAACCCAACATGTAGAAGAAAAAATAAATACATACTTTGGTTTTGGGACTAAAGCAGTTATATACCTTTTCAAGTTCTTTCCAGAGTTCCTGTCACTTCAGTGTTGTGTTTTTGATGTAGAAGCACAAACTTAGAACTAAACTTAGTTTAGAACTAAACAGTGTTTTCTTGTTAATGCTGTTTTTTCCCCTCCCCATGTATGTTACTTCTTGATCCAGATAACTAAACATGACATTTATTTCAAAATTTGGCTTTGTTGTGATGTCTTGAGTTATTAAAAATGTTAATTTATATTTATAGGATGCAGTGTGCTCCTTTAAATTATGTAAATTGTAAAAAGTGCTTTAAAATTGATTAACCAATTCAAATAAAATTAGGACAATCTGGAGTTGAGTTTGAATGCCTTCCTCTGGATACCCATAAGTTTTTATATAAAGTGCCAAACTTCGCCTTCTAGTTTTATTCCAAGTCATCTTCTTTAACATTTAAATTACCTTGCTCAGGTCAAGAACACAGTTAGGGTGGCAGATCTGTACCCACATGTTATTTTCTTGCCTTCTCCTTCTCACAGTGTTACACACAAACAGGTCACATCACGATTCTGTAATGAAAATTTTTAACACTTAATATGCTCAAGATCCATTTTTTGGGATAGTGTCTGATCTGACTTCAGATCCCTGAAGCTGCTTATCAGAGCTGGCCAAAATGCAGCACTGAAATGGCAGTGCTGCATTTCCTTGGTAGAAATTGGCAAAACACAGGGAATGAGTCAGCAGAAGGCAGAATTTGGCAATAGATTCCTGCAGGAAAGAGCTACCCACACACCAGCATTTCCATAGGCTGGTAGTTGAACTGGATATGTGGTCTTGGTCCAAATACATCATTGGACCAGCAATTCCACTTCCAGGTTTAAAAACTTGTAATAATTCACTTGACCTAACCCTAACAGTCTCCATCTCTTTCAGTGTGTTTTTTGAAGTAACATCACATCCAACCTTTTTTTTTTTTTTAATGCAACTTCTTGCATCCAGCTCCTTTTTTAAAACACAAATCCACATTCCATGTTATATTTAGAATTTCTTTGCTGAATTTAGTTGTTTTTTCTTGAAAACCCACTTGTTATGTTGCTTTGAAAAAAATTTTGTTGTTCCTTGCTAATACATAATTTGCATGGATGTACGAGACCTGCTTATTAGAAGTGATAGATCATCAAGGGCAGCACATTTCATTAAACTTCAATTTTGGCCAAAATAGCACAAAATAATTAATAATAGAAAAAGTTCTTGATAGCAAATGCTAGGTACAAATGTACAGTGGGATGAGGCAGCTTTCAAATCCAGGTTCTGGCAGGATTAAAAGTGCCATCTTTCAATACATGAGGGATTAATCTTGAATGTTTAGGGACACCATCCCATTTAAATTAAGCTTCCTGGAAAAACAGCAGTTTGGAAAAACCAAGATGGAGTTTTTGAACCTGCTAAGTCATTTAGTCTTTCATGCTCTGCTTCAAAGTTCATTGATGGATACAAGAACTTTGTAATGCTTTTTCCTGCTGCAGCCTCTTTGCAGTCCCTTGTGCATGGCAGTAATCCCAGTGCAGCACACTAACCCCAGTTTCTCTATAGATTGCATGGCACCCCTTCCACTTGGCTTTACTGCAGGAGTTGGGATTTTGTGTTGGAATGCTTCACACTGTCAAATGCTGCACTCCTGCAGTGCTCAGTTCTCAGAATATCTCTCTGCTGAGAACAGAGGGGTTGATTTGTGGTGTAGGTGACAAAGCTGCTCTGCAGAGAACGTGTGCGTAGCATTTGCAAGGTGGATCCTGTATCAACTTGTGGTTAATTGATGAGTTGAGTTGGAATGGTGAAAACAAGATTGTAAAAGATTTAAAAACCCATCATCTCTAAGCCCAGAGGGTTTGAATCTCTTCTCAGTGTTTGTGCTTGGTTATCCTGTTTCCTTGACTCCTTCAGTGTTTTGGCATTAGGTGTAACTGGAGGTTTGTCTTTTGTATTTAGCTGTGCTGTGTTTCACACCATCTGTGAGATAGTCCAGTGATAAAGTTAGATTTTATTTTTTATTTTTGGAAATGGAAATTCAGGAACTCATCCTGAATCTGCTTCTGTTCTGTTTGAGAAGTGAGCTTAATATTTCCTTTGCCCGAGTTTAATCTGTGGTTGTAACAGGATAGTGCTTCTGATGGTGGTTGTTTTGCAGAATGAATGCTACAGCTGTTTGATGCTTGTGGTCAGAGAACCTTTGAAAAGGGGGGCTTAGTACTTAAAATACTTGTTAACCTTTTTGTGGAAGTGTTTCTTAGTATTTTTGGAAAATTTGCCTCTTTGGTTGTGATTTTTGGATGTTACGGTGTTTAGGCTTATTTTTAAGTCATGGTATTCTCACGGGCTAATGGCAGTATGGACATGAGTAATCTGCCTGTCAGCAGTAACCAAACTTTGAAACTTCCCCTTTTTTAAAATAAGAAAACCTGTTTGTACTGTCTGCTCCCTCAGGACTCGTTTACTTTAGGATTGAATTGTGACCACAGACTTGCTTTACCTAGTACTCAACATAGTTTGGGTTTTCTCATTATTGTCTTCAAGTGGTTGTTGTAGGTACAGAACTTCTTATCTTCCACCTGAAATGCTGCAATGGTCCTTACCTTGCACTAAGGCTGGAATGGAGAATGTTGCCTTTGTTGACTCTACCTTTGAATTTATAATTCTAGTGGGTTTCCTACTTGGTTTTGAAAAATATACCTTGGTTAGAGTTGGTTGTTGAGTAGAGTGCACTCCTGAAAGGTTAGACTGAAGGTGGTTGGTTCATACTCTGCTATATAGGTCATACATTCACAAAATAATAAACCTTATGTTTGAGATGCAGCTGTCAGATTAAAAAAAAACCGAATTAATTAAAATCCTGTGATGATCAGAGCAGTAACCCTGAACCTCTGCAAGCTGTGCTGATTGAAACTCATTGAAACTTCTCTGAAAGCTCTGTTGTGGCAGACTCAGCACTGCATTAGGTGTTATCTCACTTAAAACAGCTGGTAGAAAGTTAATCAAAACCCCACATGAGTACTTTATGCTCTGTCATGCTGCTGTGGCCAAAAGATAGGCAGGAGTTGGGAGGTGATAGTGGCCAGGCCTGAAAGCTGGGCTGTCCTGGTGTGAGGCAGATTGCACTGGTGGCCTGACTGCTAATTACCTTCTGCATAAAGGAAGTGGAAGACTTTCAGATGTTGTCAGCTTCAAAATGTTCTGGTGGGGATTAAAGTATGCTTAATTGAGAAGATAAGTAAAAATTTTATCAGGACACTGTTAAATAGAATTCTCTTTAGTTTCTCTGGTATTTACAATAAAGTTAACTTTGCAGCATATTGAGTTAATTTTGAAGTCACTAAAACAGGTATTTTTTGAACCTGTCTTAAAACTGACAGTCAAGAAAACATATTTTTAGAGGCTTCTGGTAATAACTCTTAAAATTTAGCTTTGGCCTATAGCTTATCCTTACCTCTGAATCTCAGATGAGGGCTCTTCTAGCTCTTCTTTGCAATGCAACCAACTTCAAGCTGAATTTCATAAAAATAGAAACAAAACCCTGTAGCTGCTAGTTTACCAGCAGTGAAAGTAAAGCTGGATCCTTTCATTCACCTGATTGTTAAGAGAGAGATGAAATAGTAACACCTAGTTTGGAAAAGCTCATGTGAGCTTGCTGGTCTATTACGTGATAGAACAGATAACATGGTACATTGAGAACGCTTCAGTTTTTCCTTCTTTTTGAGTGTTAAAAGTTAAATTTGAAATTTCCTGCACTGTTGCTTATTTGTGAATTCATTTGAGTTACTAGAATGAGAGAGGAATCCAGCCTGGGTGACTGGTCATAAATTCATGTTGTGGAACACACATTCGTGATGGCCAGAAAAGAGAATTACTTGGCTTTGTCTGTAATGGAGTTGCTTGAAGGTGTTACTAAACCAGCTGGAAATGCAAAGCAGTAGCTCTGCAATCTTCTGTCTTGGTTCCAGTCACAAGCTTGACTGAATTGTGGTGCAGGAGGGGAATTCACATCCCAATAATAAAAAAAGTCATAAGGCTGCAGAGGCTTTGAGACATCTGGTAGAGGAGCTGGGCACACTCATCCATCTTTCAGTTTCCCTCCAGAAATACATGTCAAGTCTGTGTTAGTCTTTGTAACTGATATATAGAGTAAGATTAACTTGCTAATTTATCACACATTTGCATAGCTGTCACCATAGCCACCTCTGGCAAAGTTTTCTCCTAGACATATAGTTGGAGGGTGCCTTTTACTCTTCACAGAAGCTAAATCTGCATTTGTCATCCTGTTGTGATATTTGTCATACTCAGCAATAGAAATACAGTGCTTTGCTTTTGTGAAATATCATTCTGCAGTATCAGTCACTGTCATTCTCCTTCCAGTGGGAGCTAGACTGTGGATGTTTTAAAATTGTTTTGAACTTCTCTGTGAAAGAGTATTTCTGAAGGAAAATGGAGAAAACTCACATGGCCAAGGCTCAGCCTTTCCTGCAGCATTTCTTAGCCAGAGGACTGGGCCTTCTGTCTCCAGAGCAGTTTGGCCAGGCTTTCTGTAGTAACACTGCCTCTTGTCAGAAGGCACTTTGGTGCTTTGAGTTATTTGGACATCTCCTGTTAAGTAGTCAGTCAGACGCCCCTGAGAGTTACTCTTCTAATCTCATTTCTTACCACCGGGTACCTATGGAAATATGGTCAAGTTCTTATCACCAAATGTGCTGCACTTGGGTAATGAAAGGACATTATTTGTCTGTTCTGCACAAAGTGGGCAGGAGAGCAGTAGAGAGTTAGAAATTCACTTGGAGCTATTTTGGGTGTATCTGGTACTGCCTGCAAGCAGGAGTAGCGTTCACAAGCTTCCTGCCCTCAGTTTTTGATTGAGCTCCTAAGTAATTGCAAAGAGGTGAAAGATTTTTTTGGGGGGGGACATTCACCTTGAGAGTTAGGACAACCACCAAAATGTTTCTTTTATTAAGCATCTCTAGTGGTACTTCTGTATTTTCTGGGATTGGATGGTGTACCCCTGAGAAGAGCAGCAAATCTTAAGGTCCTTGAAACCACTAAGGGATAAGCAGGAAAACAATGCAGCTTGTTTTGTGCTGTTGACATGAATTTCAAGGACTTTTCTCCTCATTTGGCTTTTGCCTTTCTCATCAGAAAACGTGATCACGAGTTATCACAGTGAATGCAGAAGTGGTGGGTGTTGGTCTGTGTCTGCTCCTCCAGTGAACCCTGCCTATTCTCGTGCTGCCCAGGCTCAGCACTGCTCTGGAGGCTTTTCCCCTGCCAGTACAAGCAAGGGAGGTACTGCTGCAGCCTGAGGATGGTGTGCCAAATTCCACTTTGATTCTAAATAAGTGTGTACACCAGTTAGAAAAAACTGCATATCAAAGGTCGCCTTGTTTGGAAGAAGAGTATAAATATTTGTATCAGGCTAGACAAATTCAAATGAGAAGTTAAGCACACATTTTTAACACATAGATGATTAACTGTTGGAAGAAGCTGCCAAGAGCAGTAGTTTCTCTGGCTTTCATGTCTTAAAGACCAGCTTTCTGAAAAATATCTCCTAGTGAGAAGGGAGTGCTTGGGCTTTACAGAGAAGTAGTGGAAGCTCTGGGAGCCTGGGGCACAGAGCGAGATGCACCATGGAGCACAGTGTTCCTTCCA